AGGTAATATAGACCTACATAGCTTTATATCAGCTGATATATCACAGTGTTTCTCTATCAATACAAAACACATAGTTCAATAGACAAGGTAATATAGACCTACATAGCTTTATATCAGCTTATATCACAGTGTTTCTCTGGGATATTTACCCACTCTTTTGAAGGGCAATAACTCACTCTTTCTTGGTATTTTTACCCAGTATATCGAGAGATCTTTACCCACTATTTAATAGATATATAGTGCGCCTTGAGAAATTTCACCAGGATTCAATTGCTGCACAATATACATATCGTCATTATTATTATTATTATATATATACCCCTACTATCGAAAGATTTTTACCAGCTCTTTCGGGGGATCTTTGCTCAACTTTGCAAGGGATACTGCCAGCTCTTACTCACTCTTTTCTCGGATATTTGCCCACTCGTTTGAGGGATATCTATCCACCCGTTTGAGATATATTTACACGCTCCTTTGAGGGGCATTTACCCCCACTATCGGGGGTGTTTACTCAACTTTTGGGGATCTTTGCTTACTCTTTCGAGGGATATTTACCAACTCGTTCGCGGGATATTTACCCATCCTTTTGGGGGAATCTTTGCTTACTGCTTACTCTTTCGAGGGATCCTTATCCAATCTTTCTAGAGATATTCATCCGTTCTTTCGGGGGATATTTGCTAAATCTCTAGAGTGATATTTACCCAAACTTTCGAAGAATAATTTACCAAAACTTTCGAGGGATTTTCACCCACTCATCGATGTATTTTACTCTTTCGGGGGATATTAACCAACTGTTCGGGAGGATATTTACCAACTCTTCGAGGGCATTTGTACCGGCACATTCTTGGGATATGTACCCAATCTTTCGAGGGATCTTTAGGCTACCAATTATCTTACAATCTGTAAAGATGGAGTTAGTCCTATCCAAACAACAAGACACTATGATATAACTCCATACAGATCTGACTATTTTATTGAATCGTTTTATATATTTACAATATTTACTTGGTTCAATGAAGCAAAGATATTTTATATAAAACATAAACATCAATTTATTTCATTTTGAAGAAAAAATAAGTAGTTATTTACACTTTAATGTCTTGAGATAAACCAGCCCGACAAATCAGACCTTACCAGTTTCTCAGGGGGATACAAGGAATGGGGTTTCAGGCAGGGCCAGATTTGTCAGGGTAGAAAAGAAAAAAAACTATATTTTACAAGGACAACAACTTAGATTCACAGTTAAGGATCCTTTCTGCCAGCTGGTCCTTGGCCAAACCTCTTGGTAATGATCTTTCCCGGATTATCCATACCCATTTACAGCTGGGTCGACTGGAATAATGAGTGAAGATGACTTATTCAAGGTCATCGGACTGTCACATGTCAATCGAGAAGAATTGAACCCACAGCCACCATTTGCTAGACGTAACCAAGCAAATGACGTCATGTTAAGAACCAACACGCTCTAATCGACTGTGCTACAGAATCTCAGAAACAGATAAATGAGAACACTATTACCATAGGCTACTACTCACTTCCACTGTAACAGAAATTGAAAATAAACCTGTTAAATTATACAGTGTACTCTGTGATATTCGACATCTGAGTATTCCGACATTCTGCGAATCCGACATAATCATTTTCTGGTCCCGATTGATCTACTTCTTAGGCTGGTTTAAAAAATCTCTGAGTATTCAGACTCAGAAAAATCTGTATAATCCGACATCTACTCATCTTAATCACTTATCGCCAATTAGATAATCGCTTATTTTATTGATAATCCGGATCAAATTACATGAAGACTAAAGATATGTTTATTAAGTTTAATTTGAACAAAAGGCAGTTTGTTTTTAGACTATAGGCACAGGAACGGCAATCCTAGGCAATCTGGATTTGTTGCAGAAATTTCACGGTAAGCACATTCAGCAAGGATGCTTCCCAAACATATATAGGAGCAGTTTAATTTGTTTTTCTAACACTTATGGCAAAAAATTTCTCTATAATGACAATCTTTGGTAGGCTACATTTCACTGCATATAATAATAAACAAAAAGTCAAAAACAAATTTTACTCTAAAAAACAAGAGACACCTAGTTTAAATTTAGAGAGTTATCTTTTCTTGTCATACAATATTTGATCATAATTTTTGAGAAACGTTAGCAATATTGTGGGCTGACACAGGGGCGCATAGGAAAGTGACAGTGGCAGCGCCAGCCTTGTGAAACTGGGCGTACGATATATTATGAGAGATGGGAGGGGCACTTTGGAGATTCCCATTAAAGGGCCTGAGGGGGTTTTCCCCAGAAAAATTGATTTTTTTTGCATTCTAATAGATATTTTGTGCCCCATTGTCGTAAGACAGTTTTGAGTATGGGGGTTTGTCTAAACTCTCAACCTTTTGACGAAAGCCAGAAAGTTCTCTTTGTTACAAAATGGTAGAAAATTAGGACATACAATACGGGTGAACATCAAGATAAGATCCTGAGTACCCAACAATCTATAGGCATGAGTGTCATTTTTAATAATTTAAAATACAATTTCACCACAATAGTTTTAATGAAATGGAGTTTAACATCCTACATTTCTGACCCAGTTTCATCAAGGCAGCACTTCCTGTATTGTTATATGTATTCTTCTATTTATTTGATGGGAGCCGCGGTGGCTCAGTGAGTTAGACGCTTACTCGCTAACCTGAAGGTAGAGGGTTCAATCCCGACATAGGTCGAGATAATACCTTTAACCCGGTTTCCCCCTATCAGTGATGCAGGTAAGAGGGGCTGACATGGAAAAAGCGTCTAGTCTTTCGGATGGGACAATAAACCGAGGCCCCGTGTGCTACAGGCTGTGCACGTTAAAGATCCCTCGACAGTTGGAAATCGAAAAAGAGCAGCCTAATGCCGCTGTCCTGGCAAAATTTCTCTCATGGCACCCTGCATGGCGTTGCCCGTCTTCATTAGCCTACATGGTGCAGAAAAGTAGGACGTAAAACTCCATTCATTTCATTTTCATTTTTGATGACTATTATCTTATAACCTCATTCCTCTACTAGTTTGTATCATTGTTTGATAAAGACCCAAGTTTCATCATTAATCATCACAAGTTATTCATAAAAGTAATGGTTCTAGTGTTTGTAAGACTTCTAGATAGAGGAATAGGTATAGAAGCATAAGAAATATAGATATTCTTTTTCTAACATTTATTAACTCAATGTCTTACATGTACATACAGGCAGGCATCGTTATCATTGTTACATCATATTCTCATGATAACACTATTTGTTATGATCATGTGAAACGTTGAGTTAATAAATGTTAGAAATAGTATATCTATATATCTAGTGTTACTTTATAACATTGATAACACTGAGTTAATTAATGTTAGAAATAGTATATCTATATATCTTGTGCTTCTTTAGTAATGGCTATCCATATAATTGTGTCCAGTTATTCAATTCATCCTTCAACTATTAAATACCACTGAAGTAAGTTGGTATTGTTATATTGTTATGTACAAGGTATATATAGATTCAAGTTGCACCATATTATATAAAATAAATTAGAATATTTCTCCCTCTAAACCTCCTTTTATTACTACAATATCCATCTGTCTGGATCATCAAGACTAATGTCAGTCACTCAAAAACTCAATTATCAAGTCCCTTTATTATTTACAATTTAAACTTTAACCCTAATTTCAATATTTTCTTCTGAAAAATTGTTCACAAGTACTTCAAGATTTGTCTGAAGATTTCTTGATCAACGAAGCTGTACATTATCTTAGTCTTGATTGTACCAGACATTTGAAATCACCAAGTTGCATTATTTTTGCCTTGTTTCACCATCTCTCTCCTCTCTCTCTCTCTCTCTCTCTCTACATAACCTTGTCAAGTCATTATCAGTCCTACTACCAGGCTCCGGTTTGATCGCACCTGTTTCTCAAAAATTCTTGCGATCAACTTTGACATAAGTATGATATTGCTCAATGTGAAATTCTACATTTACTACAAATTTTTATTGTAAGATTTTTTTGAGAAACAGGTGCCCTGGGGCCGCAAAACATTACTCATTCTCACCTTAGTTTTTACTCAAATCACTTGCATCAAGAAAAAATAAAATTTGAAGATTAATGTGATAATACCAGAAACATTGTGTACTAAAGAAATAAATTGATACAATCAGTTATACACCTGTAATAGTTGCTTCAATCTCAGCTAAATATGACAACAAGTTTTCGGTCCTGGAAGCTGGTTCACAAAAAAATCTGATATTTTCAAACACTTTTACAATGTTTGATTTCTCTCATGTCAAATTACAACTAAATAAATTCTGAATCAACTTGAAGCTGATAATGACAGTGACTAAGTTAAAGTCGAGTCAAGATCTTTAAGCACATCCTGGTTCACAAAAAACAAAAACACAAACAGTCCACAGTTTTTAGGTTATAATAAACACAATATAGGTCTGACTTGTATAGTTTCAATTACTATTTATTCTACCATTGAATACAATATAGGTCTGACTTGTATAGTTTCTATTACTGTTTATTCTACCTTTAAACACAATATAGGTCTGACTTGTATAGTTTCTATTACTGTTTATTCTACCATTAAACACAATATAAGTCAGACTTGTATAGTTTCTATTACTGTTTATTCTACCTTTAAACACAATATAAGTCAGACTTGTATAGTTTCTATTACTATTTATTCTACCTTTAAACACAATATAAGTCTGACTTGTATAGTTTCTATTACTGTTTATTCTACCTTTAAACACAATATAAGTCTGACTTGTATAGTTTCTATTACTATTTATTCTACCTTTAAACACAATATAGGTCAGACTTGTATAGTTTCTATTACTGTTTATTCTACCTTTAAACACAATATAGGTCAGACTTGTATAGTTTCTATTACTGTTTATTCTACCTTTAAACACAATATAAGTCAGACTTGTATAGTTTCTATTACTATTTATTCTACCCTTGAACACAATATAGGTCTGACTTGTATAGTTTCTATTACTGTTTATTCTACCATTAAACACAATATAAGTCAGACTTGTATAGTTTCTATTACTGTTTATTCTACCTTTAAACACAATATAAGTCAGACTTGTATAGTTTCTATTACTATTTATTCTACCTTTAAACACAATATAAGTCTGACTTGTATAGTTTCTATTACTGTTTATTCTACCTTTAAACACAATATAAGTCTGACTTGTATAGTTTCTATTACTGTTTATTCTACCTTTAAACACAATATAAGTCAGACTTGTATAGTTTCTATTACTGTTTATTCTACCTTTAAACACAATATAGGTCTGACTTGTATAGTTTCTATTACTATTTATTCTACCATTAATATAGGTCAGACTTGTATAGTTTCTATTACTATTTATTCTACCTTTAAACACAATATAAGTCAGACTTGTATAGTTTCTATTACTATTTATTCTACCTTTAAACACAATATAAGTCAGACTTGTATAGTTTCTATTACTATTTATTCTACCATTAAACACAATATAAGTCAGACTTGTATAGTTTCTATTACTGTTTATTCTACCTTTAAACACAATATAAGTCAGACTTGTATAGTTTCTATTACTGTTTATTCTACCTTTAAACACAATATAAGTCAGACTTGTATAGTTTCTATTACTATTTATTCTACCATTAAACACAATATAAGTCAGACTTGTATAGTTTCTATTACTGTTTATTCTACCTTTAAACACAATATAAGTCAGACTTGTATAGTTTCTATTACTGTTTATTCTACCTTTAAACACAATATAGGTCAGACTTGTATAGTTTCTATTACTATTTATTCTACCATTAAACACAATATAAGTCAGACTTGTATAGTTTCTATTACTGTTTATTCTACCTTTAAACACAATATAAGTCAGACTTGTATAGTTTCTATTACTATTTATTCTACCATTAAACACAATATAAGTCAGACTTGTATAGTTTCTATTACTATTTATTCTACCTTTAAACACAATATAAGTCAGACTTGTATAGTTTCTATTACTGTTTATTCTATAGCATGAAACTCTGATTAACAACATGTTTCAATATTTCTGTATTCTATCTTAAAATGAAGTAGACTGGTTGTGTTTATGTTTTAATTCAGAACCCAATATACCCAAATATCATAGCTTGACTTAAACACATTAAATACATTGGGCCATATGCAGCGCTCTTACCTGACTAAAGTCGAACTTTACAAAGTTAGGATTAAGGCTTTCATTTTCTACATTTGATAGTCAAATCTAAGCACGACTTTCGTAAAGATCGACCAGTGCATACCTAAAGTTCGACTTAAGTCTAACGTCAAAGTTTGGGTAAAGTACCAGCGCTGCATATGGCCCTTTATATATATATATATATATAATAAACAAGATATCAATGAGAGAATTAAGAGACAACTGGTGTTGGTGTTGGTGTTGGAGATGATGTTGTAGCCACGCTAGGTACAGTAGTAGTGTTTGATTGCGTAGAACTAGCTTCAGATGATGGCGCCACTGTAGGACTGCCGGTATTTAATTGTGGTAATGTTGAAAAGTTGGCTAGATTTGGTAGAGGAGTTGGCGCCGGTAAACTCATTGGCGGTAAATTCAGTGCTGGAAAATCTGGAGAGCCTGAAATTACAGAATTGACATTCTTCAATCAAAATCGTTGTAAAGTCAACGTTCAAATAAACCATTAGCGATATTTATTTAATATAAACAGTAAAATGTACATATTTGTACTGTGCTGAGGTACTAAATATTCATGATGTCACATGATTTTCTACTCAGCCAATTAACTGGCTGTGAATTTTGTTGTTTCTATAAATAGATATAGATATCCACTGTTGGCAGCTAGGACGCTTTCTACAGCCCACATCAATTGTATTGGAACCAAGTCAAGGTCAATTATTGTGAAATATATTTTGCCAAAAAAAAAACCAAAAGTCACTTCACCCACAGCTAATAATAAAGAACAGAAATGCAAAATATTTTTACAGGGTGTCAACTTCAGCCTCAGATGGTTTCTGGTATGTTAATTAATCTACCCATTCTATTGTTTGTATTGATAAACAAATGTGGGGACACACAAAACTTTTTCTATAAAACGGACAGATTTATTTCTATAGTTTTTACACGATCTTTTCAGACACAACCGAAATCAGATTGAGAAAATTCAATCAGCTACTTCACTGCATCGTCAATTGACTAGAACAATAAAATATTGAGTGTTGTGCATAGTTACAAACTAAAGCTTCCATCTTTAATGGGATTGTTAAGAGGTTTTCTAAATTTATTATGTGAATCGTGGACACTGATAACATCAATTTACATCATTCACATTTTCAATCAGACATCTGTGGTTCCTGCAATTCCACTAAAACTAAGCGATTTATGACAGTACTTAACGCAATATAATGCTTCATCACAATTAGTGTTAGATGGTGATGAGAACATAGTCTCATGAAAGCACACTCTAGTGACGTCATAAAAAGTTTAGTTTTAGTGGAATCGTAGGAACCACAGACGTCTGATTGAATATTAGAATGGTGCAAATTGATGCTATCAGTTTCCCTGATACACATACAAAATTTAGAAAACCTCTTTACAATCTCGTTAATTACTTTGATTAGTTGATTTTATTACAGAAACAAAATTAACCAATCAAATTTCTTCAAAAAAACATTTATAACAGAATTATAATTCATTAAAATTTCAACTAAATATGCCAAAATTAAACATAGCCATTGATAAAAGCTTGGTGTGTCCCTACTTTTGGCTGAAATGTTACCTGTATTATGAGAAATCATAGATGGTAGGGAAACAGGAGGGAACCCTGGGATAGATATAGGAGGCATTGAAGACATCCCAGGAACAGCGGCTAAATTAGCTAAACTGACAGGAGGGGGTAAACCTAGGAACAAATAAAAACATTAAAATATCACAGGAGAAATATCTGACAATGTCTTATACCTTGACTGCATTAGCCACCTTTCTCGTATCATTGAAGACTGTAAAATCAGCAGTTTGATTAGATTATACACCATGAATACAGCCAATCAGAACCCTCGACAGAAAGTCTGTAAACAATAAGCCATAAATTATCTTACAGTCTTTTTGTCAATTGCTCTGATTGGCTGTATTCGATGACTTACAATCCAATTAACTCGCTGCATTTCGTGATACAAGGAAATTAGCTTTTACAGTTACTGTATTAAAGATGTGTTTCCTTATTCTATAGTGTCAAATTAAGCAAAATATTTGATTACTTGGTGTTTCTAATGAATTATCATGTATTCTTAATCATATCATTATGTTCTTATTGCATATAATCTGGATAAACAAAAAACAACTTTTTGATCTTTCTTGAACGGTCACTCATTGGAATTCTGTTGGTAATTCTCTTCTAATTTGGCTAATTATGA